AAGGCAAAATCTGATTTGAACAGTTACAACTTTGTCAGTCAATTCCGCCCCACGCCCTCTCCCCCACTCGGATGCAGGCTAGACCTGATCTGGTTCCCCAAAATGCCTGTTTTTTTGGTATTGTTTTGTTGTTCATATGAGGGTGTATTTCAGAGATGTTATGTCATTGGAGGTCATCCTCTTGAAGTTGTGTTATGTGTTTTTCTGGTATATGAAGCCCAGGATTGATGAACTTAAAGGGACAGTAAGTAGAATAAGGGTTTTGGGTAGAAGGAGGTACAGTGGCAGTGGTGAGGTAAAAAGGAAGACAATGTCAAGGTGTCCAAGTAGGAAGAGGCCCTCAAGTCAAACAGCGAGGGACAAATATTGTATAATTCCACTTATACCAATTTTCTGATATAGGAAAATGCATAGATACAAAAGCATATTAGTGGTTCTTTACCAGGGGTTTCAGGGAGGAATAAATGGGGAGTTATTATGCTTAAAGGGTACGGAATTTCTGTTTAGAGTGAAGAAAAGATTTGGAAATTAGAGTCGTGATGTTTGTACCACATAGTACCCATGATGTTGTACATTTAACAATGGTTGAACTGGCAAATGTTTTGGTACTTTATTTACCACACCCACAACAAAGAGGAGGCTCCCAAGCACCCAGTGTTCTTATGCACAAGAAAACTGTGATGTCTCAAGTACTCCCTCAATGCAAGAACACTTTGTTCTATTAAATTGGCATTCCATGATGCTCACCCTTCCCATCACGATAGCTGAAGGCAAATGGGTGCATAAGCAAATGTGGTGAAGAAAGCTGATGGTGCCGGCTATCAAAAGATATAGTGTCTGGGGTCTTAAAGGCCTGAAGGTAAACAAATGGCCATCGAGCTCAAAAGCAACAAAGCCCACATAGAAAAAGCACACCAGCCTGTGTGATTACGAGGTGTCGAAGGGATGAGGTATCAGGCATCAAAGAACAAAAAATCCTATCATTGTGAATGAGGGGAGTGCAGAGTGGGAACCTAACCCATCTGTAGGCAACTGGACATCCCCTTACAGAAGGGTCGTGGGGAGGAGACAGGGTGCAGTGTAGCACTATCATGATCCCAGTTCTACCTTACAAATCCAGCTAAACCAGAAGAACTGGAAACACACGGAATCCAGGACAGATGAATCCCTCAGGACCAGTGGTGAGAGTGGGGATACC